ATTTGGCAACCTTCTCAGCACTTATTAAACTAATAAAAGCAAAAATTATTTTTTCTCTTTTTTTGTTATTTGAATTCATAGCATTATTAAAAGAATATTAGTTTATTTTTAAGCTAAATATTTAGCTGTCAAAAAATATAATAATTTGTCACAAATTATATAAATATAATGTAAACACCACCACTTTATTTGCTTATATAAGATTATCTGTAAATTGAACATTATATTTGGTGACTACTATATATATTTGTCTACTTTTAATATTTATTAATATTATTATAATTACTGTGTCTATATTAATGACTTAAATTGATTAAGCTATAATCAGTTAACTGACTTGAACTGAATAAAATTTAGATAACTGATTTAGAAAATTCTTAATCAGTTGATCTGGTATAACCAGTTGGTAGGTATAAGAAAATAGCAAAATTATATAGAAGAGTAAAAGATCTGAAAAGTTTTGACAAGAGACAAAAATTAGTGTAAAGCTCTGAAAATTTCTGAATAGTATAGATATTAATTTTAACTGGTTAGTAATTGGTTAAATAAAATAATTCGATTTAGTTAACCAATTAAGAAAATTTTTTTTAGTTCAAATTACTAGTTTATATACTGATATATCTAATTAAGTTAATATTTCCTATTGGGCTTATTATATATTTGTAATGTCTAATATTAGTTTACATTCTTTATATTATTAACATTTTTTGCAAATGTTAATAGAATCTACAAGTTTTTAGAAATTCAACAATCATCACTGTTATTTGAGAAAGCAACAACCAGACCATTTTACTAAACTGCTATATTCTTAATAAAAAATAATATTTGCTATTTTTAGAAACAATTTTTTCAGGTTTTTAAAACCACAACAAAATTATTTTTACCAATAACATCTCCAAAATAGCCAATCAGATTTTGAGATCAAATATATTATAAAATCAAACAATCAAATAAACAAAAAATTAAAGTAATAAAACTTTGATATTAGATTAATATTAGAATAAGGTTAAAGTATAAATTTGATTTAGAATTTTTTATTAAAATGCAAAAGATGGTTCCTATATAGATTTTCTAGTTATAGATGATTTTGATAAATTGGTTTGAATTTTCTAATTATGCTATATTACACCTAATCTTGATATTTGATTGGTTGTGCAAAATTTTTGTAGGTGTTCTTGATGTAGTTAACAAAATTTTGCAAACATATGATCTCAAACAAATCAAATTTTAGAAGCAGATGTAATATTGCACAATCAAAAAGTTCAACATCGTCTATAACTCAAAATTCTGTATAGGTAGTCACCTTCTGTACATTAACAAAAAGGTTTCTTAAATAATTTTACTATTAAAATACTAAACCCTAACTCTAAAACAGGTCCTAATTCAAACCTACTGTAAATAAGCTTTAAAGAATAATATCTAAAAAGATGATGTCTAAAGTGGAGCAGATTCTTATAATATATATTTTATTTTATTAAATTAACTTTAGGGTTAGTCATCTTATATTGGGTTAGGTTAGGTTTTAGATAGTTTATAAGCAAAATTGCCTTCTAGACACTTTTGATGACTATTTTAGACTGCTGTTTTGTTTTGCGATCATCAAAATTCGCCAGATACCATGTAATTCTGCTCCGCTTTAGGTTGTTCTCAAGTAGCTCCCTTGATGTAATTTGCAAGTGATCGAGATGCTGCTCAATCATTTCGATTAATCAAAATTAATTGAAGTAATCCCTGTAACAATTTTGCCAAAAATTCATTGTGCAAAATATGGATTTTAAATTTCAGCTAATCAGAGTAACTCTATGAAAAAAAAGATGTTTGTTTGCTCCAGGTTTTTTAGACTGGAATGATTATACGTGATTTATTTTTTCAGCCAATCGGATCACTTTATCAATTATAGAAGGAGGTGCTTGAAAACAACCTCTAAAAAGTTCAGGGGTAAAATTTAGATTTCACAAACAATAAGCATAATTTTCTCTAGTTCATGACCCAAATAAGGAATATAAACAATTGCATCAGATATAAAAACCACTTATAAAACAGGTCTTTGTTAGTTTATCAATAATTTTGTCTGAATTTCTGTTTGCACTATGCCTATTAATCTTGAAAAGGATGTGAGTTTTTAATAATCAATGTTTCTGTGTTTCTGTATCGAAAACTTTTTAAACTATAATCACAATTTAGAGATTGAGAAGAAGCTTTAGATCCCGAAAACTTTAATCTTCTCTCTATTTTGAAATTTCATCAATCAAAGGAAAATTTTACATTTAATAAGTCTGTCAAACATACTCTTATATCAAAGTTCTATTTCGTGTGTTGCAACTATGGATGAAAAGTGGGAAATTACTGCATTTGCCATGATCAATGATAGAATATCTAAGGAAAGGTTACTAAAAGAAAGAAGAAGTGATGAGGGGATAGGGAAGGAGTTGGACGCTGCCAAAACAACTACCTAAGCGACTTGACAACTTGCCAGGTTAGTTATGAAGATGATCTCCAGTGGGCTCCCTCCTAAGTTTGTGTGAAGGCCAAAGACAACTCGTCTTAGTGTCAAGAACAACTCGTTAATTCACAACCCCCTATGACTCACTTTTCTTCTTTCAATATTTTGATTTTTATATATTTTTTTTGTTATGATTCTTCTAACTTCTTTTTTATTATTATTTATATAGCAGGCTCAATGGGAGAGTGTAAAATTGTTATGGAATGAGATTGAACTAGGGCTGCTGAAGAAGAAGGTGGATCATATTGAGGTATTTATCTGTCTAATTTACATAACAGTTGCTCATGTAGAAGGAAATTGATATACGGGAATGCTAAACAGCGCCAGGGCACAGGATAATTAGGCCCTTATATGTAATTATTTTAATTTGGGCCCATATTTGTAACTATTTTCACTTTCCGGGCCCTAATTTGTAAATTCTCCTTAAATATATTGATATTATCCTGCTACAAATCATTTAATTTTTATTTCACAACTTCCCAACCAAAGTGCCCGTGTTTTAGATTCATTAATAATAATTTTCCAATATTGCATAAACGCTTTAGTCTTAATCTGCCCACCAAACAACAAAAACCAAACAAAATTATAATTATATGAGCGGTTTTATGTAATAACAGTTATTATAAAGAACTGAATAATTATATATAACTTTAACGATGTAACCAATTATTATGTTTGATTCAAGTTATTATATTCTATCATTTAAACGAGTTGCTTTGACCTTTAAAAATATGGCGCTTTTTACTTTATGAATTCAATACAGTAAATATTCTCGAAGTCAAAGTGAAATCAAAAACGAAAATCAAATCAAAGTGAGAGTCAAAGCGAAAGTCAAGGTAAAAGCTAAAGTGAAAGTCAATGTAAAGCTAAAGTGAAAGTCAAAATGAAAGTCAAAACCAAAAGTTGAAGTGGAATCGAAATGAAAGTCAAACGAAAGTCAAAGCAAAAGTCAAAATGAAAATCAATATGAAGTCAAAACGAAGTCAAAGCGAAAGTCAAAGCGAAAGTCAAGGTGATGTTTATTATTATTTAAGCACAAACACGGTTTCGAAGTCACATGTATGCTTGCTATTTTTTTTTTGGTGACGTTATGTATGCTCAATAAAATATAAAATAATGATTACAACCCTTGTCATACATACATTCTAACACATAAATTGTCAAATATTAGAAAATATTGCAAACTATACTCCACATGATGTGTAGACTCAATTGTAAAATATATAATCGAGTTAGGATTAGAAATTATACGTAGCAAATTAGTATAGGTACTGTGCACCCTCATGCGTAAAATAATCTTGAAATTAAATTTCGGGGGGTTTTTTTTTTTTTTTTTTTTTTATAATACAGTATATATTTGATTACGTAGTTTTACTGAATCCTAAAATCCAATTATGCCAATATAGCGATAGTATTTAAGGCATCTTAAATACTGGTGATTTGAACAGGGCATTTTTAAGCTAACCGGTTTGTTATATTTATGGTTTTAAAAACCTGTACATTTACAATATCAAACGCGTTAGTATTTTACCAGATAAAAATTTAAGAGTTGGTAACGTTTGTTTTTAGCTAATTGATATCGTATAATTATTTTAATAAAGAATTTATTTATTTATTTATTTAAAACACCAAATCAAAGTAATAAATTCAAATAGAGTATTATTATGACGGTTAAAACAAACCGATTTCATGTCATTCGATTAGTGTTAATAAAACGAATCGAATGATTATAATCATGTCTTTTTAATGAATTTCAGACTAACGGCTGGAACCGTTATTTAACATATAACCTTGTTTTCATGTTGTATAAACTTTGATATTATGAATAATAAAGAACCAATATAAAGTAAATGATATTACAATTCGTGGCAGCTATTTCGAAGCAAAGATGCATGACTAATTACATGCGGTAATATATAAATTAAAACAAATGATCATCATCTTTGATAGTTCAATGACAATGAGTGATTTTAAAAAATTATTTCACCATTTTTACTTGGTAAGCCGTCATGTGTTGTCCAAGAATAAACCTTTTGAATAAAGAATGGTGGCTTTTATTTTCTCATGCGCATATATATAAGATCTGATCTTGTATGCATTCCAGCATGGTGATATTCAGTGATGATCTACAGTGGCTTAGCCAATTTAATAAAAAAAATTTTGTAATTGATGTGTTGAAACCTTATCAATCAAATCTATTACCGTAAAACGCCGTATAAGGTACCCGGGTATCTTACAATTCACATGATAAAAATTTGATTTGTACCCCCCGG